CTTAAAAACAGCAAGAGAAAAAGCAGTCAGTTACCTGCAGGGGAGTTCTCCTAAGACTGTCAGCTGATTTGTCAAAAGAAACTTTGCAGGATACAAGGGATTGGCAAATATTCAAAGTCATGAAAAGCAGGGACCTACAGCCAAGATTGCTCTACCCAGCAAAGATACCATTTAGAATTGAAGGGCAGATAGAGAGCTTCCCAGACAAGAGAAAACTGAAGGAGTTCATCATCTCTAAACTATTATTAAATGAAATTAAAGGGAATTTATTTAAGAAAAAGAAGGTAAAAACTATGAACAATACATACTATCAACAACTGAATGTAAAAAACAAACTAAACAAACAAGAAGAACAGAGAATCATGGATACGAGAGTGTTTTGATGGTTGCCAGGAGGGAGGGGGGTTTAGGGCAATGGGTGAAGAGGTGGGATTAAGAAGTACAAATTGGTAGTTACAAAATAGCCATGGAAATGTAAAGTATAGTATAAGTAATGAAGTAGCCAAAGAACTTTTACACATGGCCCATGGACATGAACAATGGTGAGGGGATTGTCTGAGGGAGTGGGAGGTGCTGGGTGGCAGGGGACAAAGGGAAAAAAATTGAGACAACTGTAATAGAGTATACTGTGTTTCACATACAACAGTAAACCCGCTTTTGCCCTACTCATTATATATCTGGTATATTATATTTTTACATTTTTCCAACATGTATTTATTAATAGTTAAGCCATGATTCAGGATCCCAGAGTGAGATGTACCCAGGTTCCCCTTCACCTCCCTGGGAGAAGGATGAGGATGGAGGACAGAGGACAGGTGGGGGACAGCCAGTTCAGATCTTCCCAGGAAACGTGCCTTCTGCCTGGTGGTTGTCTGAAGCCAACACCCAGGGTATGACGCAGAGGTGCTTATACACATGCCATTATCACATGGAGACATCGCCCCCTCTAGTAGGCATTGCCTTCTCAACATGGTGGAAGTCCAGGTGGTTCTGGCAGCAGTTCCTGGTCTGGTTCTGGTTGGGAAAGTGGCTGTCAATGGGGCAATCTGGGAGTTCTTGATTTTGGACTTGATGTCTTCTACCATATTGCTGACTCCTAAAGACACCCCTAAAGCAACTCACAGCTCAGTATGACCCTCAGCAAAGATGTCTCCACCTGACTTTTTATATTTATTTTGATGGATTGAAAATATCTTTAATTTTTTTCAGTTTTAGATTATTCAAGTTTATGATTTAAAGACAACAGAAATGATAACATTTTGGATTTTCTATATTAATGTTATAACCTTTTATTTTAGTGAACCATTCTAAAATATTTGTAATGTTTTTATTCTTATTGAAGTATAATATATATGCAAGCAATGCACAGGTCATAAATATATAGCTTGATGTATTATCACAAATTGAACACAGTCCTATGCTGGTAACCAGTAGTTAAATCACACCAAAACATTAAAATTTCCCAGAACCCCCCCTAGGGTCCCTTCCAATTAATACCCCTAGCCAAGGGTAACCACTACCTTGATTTCTAAAAATTAAATGTAATTTTTAACCGGAAATTATTTAACCTGAAATAGTAAGAGAAGTTTATCTGTAATGATAGTGATAACAATCAGGAATTAAAGGTCTTCGAGGAAGTATACATCTTATTATATCTGATATAAATCTGTACTATCATAGAATATATTATATAGTAGAATTAGTCCCTTTTTTTCCTATGTGGGATTGTTTTGTCCTGGCTCATTTAAGTTTATATAGTCAATATTCTTTCTTGTTTAAAATTCTTATTTGTTCCCAGGGGAAAGCACTACCACTACCTTTGTGCTCCCAAATTTCTCTCCTTAGTGTTCATTTTGTTACTTCTGCCTTAGGGAAGAGTTGAACTCTAATTAGTCTATTTGCAAATGGCCCTCATATGAGCAAATTTTTAATCACCAACAGAGTTGACCTACATTCTGAAGGCCATCGAGGCATATATTCCTTCCTCCCTTGATTGCATACTCAGCTAGCAAGCTGTGTTTGTTGAATACCAGCTTAGTGTAGAGCATTCTGCCTGGTTCATTAGATGACATTAAAAGGAATAGAAGATATCGACCTTGCTCTCTAGGAACTTAACAGTACAGTGAGGTGGTTAAAAGTGTGGAATCTGAAGCCAGACTGCTTAGGTTTATATTCCAACGTCACCACTTCCTACCTGTGTGATTTTAGGTGAGATACTTAATTCTGTGTCCCATTTTGCTTATTTGAGAAGAGTCTAAGAATACTTATGTCGTAATGTTGTGGGGTATATTTATGATATTAATACATGTCAAGCATTTTGAACAGTTCATGGCACATAATAAGTACCTCATTAAGTTTTAGCTGCTGTAATAGTAATCACCATAGAGAGCATACATAAAACACTGAAATTAGAACCAAGGTAGCACATAATTAAATTCCACAATAAATGAAGAAAGCAAATTAAAGCATCTGAGATTACTGAGCTGCTGGCTTGCTGGCTGCCTGTTCCATATGCCATCTTGCCTCGGTGACATCAGTCCCCAGGCTGACATGGACCAATTTATTGTCCTTGATTAGAATGGAAAAAGAGAAGAATCTATAAAAGTCATGAAGGAAGCTTTGATTAAAACTCCCCAGTATGTCTTTCCCAACTCATCCCCACCCTCAAGCTGTCTGGATCTATTCACTTCGTATTTCCTATTACTGAATATTTAGCAGATAAAGACTTGAGTGAACAGCACTCTCATTTATCCTTTAGGGGTGTTAAGGTCTGATGAGTCATTTGTACCTTAGTATTGTAATCAGATTCTTCTTCTTCTTCTTCTTTTTTTTTTTTTGAGTATTTAGCCAGAAATCTGAAAGAATGGGAATTTGTTGTTTGGGAGAGAAATGAGTAATTTTGAAATACAGAATGTTTTTTTTTTCTCTAAATAGAGGTTTTGCATTTGGGGTGTTGAGCAGCATGACATATTGGGGATGGAGGAAGAGACAAATAAGTGGTAGGATGTCAAAATCTATTTAATCTCTTTTTGAATGTTATCTGTTACTGTCAGTTTACTCATTATTATAAACAAAGTAGGCTTTTGGGGAGGTCAGGTTAGGAAACTAGCTACCATTTATTATTTCCTCTGGAAAGAGGAATTCCAGCTTCCAAATAATGAACAGTGTAAAAGTTTAAAAACAAATTTTTTTTTTAGAATGCATTTCCTTTGTAAGTGATATAAACAGTAATTGCTGTGTAAAAATCTCAGGAGAGATTTTTTTTTCATTGAATATTATAGTGATAGGAGTTAGGGAGAAAGTAGACCTTGAACTGAATAATCCTTTTTAATATTTGTGTGATGGGAAAGAGAAGAGGCCAAAGATGTGTAGGCAAGTGTGAGTATGATATCTGAAGAAAAGTGGAAACTGACAGAAGATGAGATGGGCTGACTGGTACTTCAACTTTCTAGTTGAAAAGTCTGAATTCTTTTCCTAGGAGAGAAATAGTTTTCTTTACTCTTAACCTTATACTGCAGATGCAACCTCAAACTATCCTTGTTCTTTGGTTTTAAGCTATTACGACATTTCATGCTTTAAATTTTGATTAAACAGAGTTTTCATTTATTTTAACAGAACCGGAGGTTTCCAGTTTGAGAAACTTTCCACTTGGAAAATTATTTTAGATGACAAGATCTCCTAGCAATTTATGATACTACAGTTTAGCTCTATCAAACATTGTAACAATGCATTCTGTGGGCCTTGAGTTTTGAAGAGAAAGATAATCTTCAAAGTACTCTATTCTCAGCATGACCTGGGCTATACCCAGAACCTCAGTCCCTTTCTACTTGTCCAGTTCACTTTCTATATGAAAAATAGATAGTTTTTCCCTTATCTGAAGTATTGGGTTGGCCAAAAACTCCACTTACTATTTTTCTGTAAAATAAAAGATATATGTTTCATTTTCACCAATAACTTTATTGATTTGGATATTTTGAGTTTGTTGGCTATTTTCTGCGTGGCATAATATTGATTGTTCTCAATTAATGTCTTGATTTGATCACTATCAACTTCAACCTGTCTACTCTGCCCTGGAGCATTGTCCAGTGAGAAATCTCCAGCATGAAACTTTGCAAAACACTCTTGACATGTTCAATCAGTCACAGCACCTTCTCTGTACACTGCACAAATCTTTTTTATGTTTCAGTTGTGTTTTTACCTTTCTTGAAATAAAAAGCATAATATACTGAAAATGTTATGTATTTTCTTCCATCTTCAATATTAAAATGACTACACAAAAATTCACCAATTTTGATAAGATTTTTTTTTCAATGCATGCTATGACAGCTGTCACAATACAGTCTAACAAAACTGTTTCGGATGAAGTTAAAGACAACTAAGTGCTACTAGAGCCATCTTAAGGAAAAAACAAAATGAACTTTATGGCCAACTCAATAAATGGGAAGAGTAAGAGAAACTTCACTGAAAATTTTATATGTTCTATAAAGCAAGAGTTAATTTTGTGTAAAATTTCTGTACTGTTTTCAGGGGACTCTATAAAGGGTGTGTGTGTGTGTGCCTGTAGAAATTCAGAATGACCACATGCTACAGTTTTTAGTTATTTAGAATGAATGAATTTTTTAGGTGATGTCTGATGGTAAATAGTATATAGTACAAATGAAGATTTATAAATTAGAAAAAAATTTAAAAGGACACTATCTATATCTGATATAGATACTGGGCCACAATATAAATCTTCATAAGATGTGTGAAACTTAACCACCTATTCTGTCTTTTCAAGTGGCTGGCTGCTACATCCAGTTGAATTTCTCTTTAATATTGTGATTTAACTTGTGCTTCATAAAGGTTTTTAAAATATAACATGTTTGCAGTCAAGTTGAACAGTATCTTCAGATTGATTCTGAGAATACTTAGAAAAGGTTCATGTGAATATATTTTTTATTTCTAAATTCATCATTTTGATACAAATACCCATGGTTTTCTTCTGTGTTTACATGCAGCCAGGAGCTATGGGCGGAGACGAGGTAAAAAATTTTTAATGAGATCTTTTGCTTGCCAAATTGTGAGTAAATATGAGTGTGTGTGTGTGTGTTTATGTCTGTGTGTGTGTAAAACAGTTAATGTATGATATGATGTCCTACCCTAATTATTTTAGTGAAATAATTTTATACTTTCATTATATTTTTTGTGGTTAGTTGGTAATTTGTTCTTTAATCTTAATAAAAACATAGCAAAGACTATTTCTACCGGGAAGTTTTTGTTATATGGTTTATCATGAATGATCTTGAGGGAATACAACTACATATATATAAATATATAAAAATTTATTTGTTTATTTATTTATTTATTGTCCTGTATCCACTGTGTTCTTTTCCTACCACTTAGAAGCAGAAGTTAGTTTTTAGAAGGCAATTCTCAAACTTAGTACAGTTGGTCAACTGGTGATTTTTAGTGTGTGTTACCTCCAGAGGCAGATTTATCTTGAAGCTAAATGAAGCTTCAGTTTCAGGAAACCTTACTTTCATGAGCCCCCTCCAAGATCTTTATTGTTGTGTTGTTTTGTTAAAGAGGGATCCTCAATTTGTATAGGTGCTAGGCCCCATACAACATGCATTCCCTCCTGGTTAAACCCAAACAAAATAACATTGCTTTCATTTGTATAATGCTTTAACCTTTCTAAAGTTTTAATTTCCACAATTGTAATTTGTTTAAGTAATTTTAGGAAGTAGGTAAGCTTAATGTAGTTGAAAGAGTATGAGATTTAAGGTCAAAGACCTAAGCTGTAATCATTGCTTTATCACTTAAATCTAGTATCCTCATCTGTACACTATAAGGTAATTAAACCAGTCTTGTCCAACTTCAGGAGTATTAGCAAAGTTATAGTACAAAAAATTGGAAAGGAAATAGTATAAACTAAAAGCATTCCAGAAATAGAAGTTGCTTTGGTACTCATTTGTAGAAGCTGGGAGAGATGAAGTAATTTACTCTTACTGTGTGATCTCAAGTTAAGGTCAGAGCCAAATCTGGAACCTTTGTCTTTTGGCTGTTTATTGAGTGATGTTTACCATTCATCAGCTGTCTCTGACTCTGTATTTGAGTCCTGAAGGGACAATAACATTAAATTCATAGTATTTTATAATTTATTTTATAGTAAATATTTGTTGAATGGATGAATATAATATACATTTGAGTTACCATTGAAATCATCTTTCATGATGGAATCATACAGTCATTTTTGTTTTCACCTCATGGTGAAGAAAAACATTTGTTAATTATTTTTTTAACCATGAAAATAAGTACCATTTATATTTTTCACCTAAATTATTTTTAAATTTAAAGTATAGAAAGTAATATTACTATAAATAATTTTGTACCATATTTTTTTTCAATTGTTAGTAAAACAATCACTCTCCGGAAGGCATGGGGAATGGACCATTTTACATGGGAAATAAATACCATCTGGAGAGTAGATGGCAGGGACTAGCCTCTCTTCTTACACGGTGATCAGTCACCAGACCTTGTTAATATTTTCCCACTAGTTTCTCAGGTTTTGCCCCTTTCTTTCCATTGTATTGTTTCATCTTTCTGAAACACCACTTTGTCCACGTCTTCCTCCTTTTCCATTCAGAATCCGCATCATCTGGCTTCTCCCTGTTTCACCAGTGTTTTCCATTGCTTCTACTACCTTACGTTCTTCCTGCCTTTCCTTTGTGCCATGACTCTTCAGCTGGAGATAAGGTCTTTGAGCACAGCTGCCTCTTGTGCCTCACACTGTAATCATATATGTTATAGTTAGCACTTGCCAAATACTTAGTGATGAGGATTGTTTTAAAGTAACACCCACATCTATGCAGACCAGAGTTTTTGGCATTATATTCTTAAAATTGTTTAATTTTTACAAATTATAGTACATTAAATACAAGAATGTAAGATCACCTGTAGTTTCTAAACTCCTGAAAAAATTACTCTTCCAATTTCCATGTTACTTCCCCATATCCGTTTGTAATCGCTTTTAGAAGCCTTAATTCTCTTTGCATCAAATGCTAAGCTAAACACTGCCTAGATGACTTGATCCCTGCTCTCTGTAAGTCTGTAGTTTGATAGTTGTAGATGAAGAAGATAATAACAGAGAGAGAGAGGAAATGAATGAGTGTGGGGCGGGGCAAGAAAGAGAGTACTAAAAGGCTGAATATTGACTTTTGTAATGGGAAAAGAATAGGCAGAAAATTTTTTTGTTCCATACTTGTATTTGGCCTTCTATTCCCAAAGCTGAAAAAGAAGAAACATCATCTTCCTTAAATGCAGTGACCTAGCCATGTGGAATGGGGCAGGTGTACCTTATATCCACTTTCATTCTCTGAAATATACTACTCATCTGGTCCACTGAGGCATAATATAAATTTGATGAACTGACAGATTTTTTCATGCTCATTTGTGTGACCAGGGATTATATTAATGCTTGGTTTGTTCCCACCAAACAAAATTTAGACTTCCCCACAAAAGCATAAAAAATAAGCTTGTTGATGTATGTTATTTTATTGTACTTATGATTAAGATTTGCCATAACTCATTCTGTTCATTACATATACAGGGTAGGGCAAAAGTAGGTTTAAGTTGTTTGTATGGAAAATAATATAATAATAAATAATATAAGAATAAATTCTGTGTTTCATGTACTCACAACTGTAAACCTACTTTTTTATCACCATGAATATGTTGGTAAATATTTTAGGGATAGAAAACAAAGGGAATTATCTGTGACAGTTTTGAGATATATCAGCAAGAATTAGGTCAGTAGAACCTTTCATTTCTCCTGCTAAACTTGGAAAAGCTTCCTACAATAGGTAGAATTTCAGGAACTCTTTGTATAATGAAAGAGAAGGGGGAAGGAAGACACTCTAGGTATGTGATTCAGCTTAAAAGAAGGCTTTGAGGTGAGATTGGCATGACCAGATGCTTGGAACATGTTCCCGAGTGTATGCAGTGGTGGCCAGCTGGAGAGGAGAAGTTGGCAATGAGATGGTTTGTGCTTCCCTTATGAATGGTTTTTAAAACAGAGAGTAAGACTCCTAGACACACATATGTCAGGCTTTAGAAAGAGGGTTCCATGATACAAATAATGAAGACCAGAGAGAATTTGGGCATCAGTAGAAGACTTAAATGGGGAAATAAGTAACCAGAGGGTAGGTTCTTTGGCAAACCAAATGCCTCTGGTGGCATAGCTGAAGCAGTAGTAGGAGGGAAGAAGAATTAGATGTGAACGAATAGGATTTGAAAATGAATATTGATTATATATAAAATATTTAAATATCCAGTTATATTTCCTGTTGGTACTCATTTTTACTGTAGAGATGTGTCCTGGTAGACAAATGTTGATTTCCTTGTGGAATCAAAATGACACCAAAGAATTGTAGCATTTTCTTTCAGGAGTATTCTGGTTTCCACAAGCTCTGATATGTGTTTTCCTATACAACTGCAGCCCCTCTTAGAAACTAGTCTAGCAGGTAGTATCATACAAGATTTTTGTCTCACTTGATTTAGCAGCACACCTGATTAAAATATATGTTGTGTTTTTCATTGTGCATGAATTTTTATGGACTCTGGGAAACTTTTGTCCATATTTAGACAGGTTGGCTATGTGTCAGTGCTCTTGATATTTAACAGAATTTCTTAGTTAAAGAGCAGCAAAGAAAATATAAAAGATCCTTTTAAACAGTATAAATGAGCAAATACAAGTAATGATTGGAGTTACTTTAATATTAGAATTACTATTATGAAATGTACTTCTGTGTATATTTCATCCATAAAAATTTATTTACATTAATGTATGACTTAGTTCATAACAAAGGTTCTAAAAATTCAGTGAAACAAACCTGTATACCAAGTTGGAGTTGGGTCTTTCTGCCAAAGGCTGCCCAAGGGAGAAGAGATTAGCTCTGCCAGTAAAACCATGGTGCAAACATGCCATCCTGCTGATTCAGACCTGGTTATGTGAAGTTTCTTGTCTAAGGGAATGGATGGTTCGAGAGTAAAACATGAACAGCTGAAGGAATTTCTGAGTGCTCATGATTATAATCTCTGGAATGTTACTGTTTATAGTAATAGGAAAATTTTACTGAGCACAGGGCACAGTATGGGGAATAAGATCACTAGTTTTGTACCTTTGCAAGAAGATTTTCTGAGAGGTGCCTAAAGATATAATGAAGGAGAGGCTCTTGGTGGTTCACCCTAATTTCATTCATTGAATGTTTGTGTGCTTACTCCAGGTCAGATGCTGTGCTAGGCTCTGCATGTGTTCTGTCTCCCTACTGTGTATTCACTCTAGCAGGAGAGAGACAATAAATGCATGAAACAAATATTTTTATACTCAAAAGTTGTAGTAGGCAACTTTTTTGTTGTAGGAATGAAAAATGGAAAGTTCCCTTTAACATAGGATAGTTTTCACTGAAGAGATGTTTTTTAAACTGAAACTCAAAAGATGGAAAGACTGCTATCTTTAAATATTTTTTATTATGGAAACATACATAAAAATAGAATGGCTTAATAAACTGTATACTCATCACTTCAGTGATTATCAACATTTTTGCCAATCTCGTTTCATATATTCCCTTTATTTTTTCCCTTAGAATATTTTAAAGAAAATTCCAGACCTTATAAGACAGCTATCTTAAGAAGCTTGAAGCAAAGTAGTACTGATAAATGCTAAAATATTGATCAACCTTGAAAACATTATGTCAAGTAAAAGAAGGCAATTACAAAAGATCATATATTATATGATTTCATTTTTATAAAATGTCTAGAATAGACAAATCTGCTGAGACAGCAGTAGAGGAGTGGTTGCCTAGGGCCAAGAGGGTTTGAGGAAAGTGGGGAGTGACTGCTGTTGGGTTAAATGGATGAATTGTGTGATACTTGAATTATAGTTCAACAAGGCTGTTTTTTTTTTTTTTATAACGGGGATGGGACTTGATGAAAGAAAGAGCTTTGTTTGTTTGAGGAAGTTAGTAGAGCCCAGAGTGGCTAA